GACCCGTGGGTATATGACAACATCACTTGTCATAGAGCTAAATATGGGCTTTTCAATACATGATGCCAAGCCTATTGGTCTGCATCTGTTCTGACCCCCACTTCTGACCTCACCATACACAGAAATTATCTGGTGAATTAGAGACTTAATGAAAAAGCAAAACATAAAATATTGAAAATATAGATGAGCTATACGACCTCAGTGTAAGGAAGGGTTACTCAAATGCGACACAGAAAGCACAAACCCTAGAGGAAAAGATTATAAATCTGTGGCTATTAAAATGTAGAACTTCGTTCATGTAAAGATGCTAAGCACAGAGTGAAAAAACAGACTCAAAAAAAACTGTCAGTCTACAGAACTGCTAAATATTTTTCAGAATATGTAAAGTACTACTATAAGCCACACACAAAATAACAATAACAAAATTAAAATAGACAGAAGACATTTCACTGAAGGAGAATCTCAAATGGCTTACAAAGCAAAAGATGCTTAACTCCATTACTAATCTGAGAAATGTAAATTTAAAAGACAATAGCATCCCATTTCACACTCATTTCATACGAAACAATATGAAATGCCAGCAAGAAAGTAGAATAACCAGAACTCTATACACTACTGGTGGGAAAGTATCTAATGAATCTGTAGATATGCATATACTAGAAGCTAGCAATGCCACTCTTCACATATGTGTCCTAAAAAGAATTTACAAATGTGCACCAGAATCCACGTACAAGAATGTGTACAGATGCACTCTTTGTGGAGACAAAAACATGGAACCAACTCAAATGTCCAACAGAAAGATGGACAAATAAGTCATGATGTAAGATAACACCGTGGAAATTCAATACATGGATGCATCTCAGGTACATAATGTTGAGGCAAAAAAAAAAGTCACTAAATACTAAGTGGAATCATCCTATGCATAAAGTTCAAAAACATGATAGTAAACAATATATTGTTTAAGGAAGCAAATGTAGTATTATAAAGAAAAGCAAGAAAACAGCAAATACAAAATTCATAATAGTAGTTATCCTTGAGAGAAGGAAATGGAAGGAATTAGGAAGAGGAACTCAAAGGCAAGAAAAAAATTTTTTAAAAGGATGATGAGTATACAAGGTCTACTGCATAGTCATTCTTTATACCATATTTATATTTTCAGAAATCTTGTGCACCAATTGTAAAAATTTAATGATTCAGAATAAAATTATTTTTAATCAGAAAAAAAGCTATTTTTAATCAGAAGCCCTGGCAGAAATCAGCTAGATTAGAATAGCAGCTGCCCCCATAGAGAGCATCTTCATCATTTGTCACGTCCCGTGCAGAGGCTGTTGTTTTCCTTACAGCTGTCTTAGGGGTAATTCATTTACATCACCTGTCTAGCCTTAGTGTATACTTGAGATTATGACTTTTGCTTTAGAACAGTTCTCAAGGTGTGGTCCCCAAACCAGCAGCTTCAGCAGCACCGGTAACACGTGACAAGTGCAAGTGTTTGGGCACCACCGTAGACCTGCTCTATATATCAAACACTGGGGCTGGAGCCCAACAGTCCGTTTCAACAAGCTCTCCAGGGGACCCTGATACATTTGAGAACCACTGTTCCCTAGGACACGGCCCGGCCCCTGGACTTCCCTCGCCCCGTCCTCCCTACCTCAAAAGGGCCACACTTCTTCCTCATGGAAGCCTGTTCATTTCCAAGAGCCAGCAAGATCCTCACTTCCCGCCGTCTGGAGGATGCCTCCAGCCAGTTTTCCTCGCTCGGTGCCATCTAAGCCACTGTGCTGTGACTGGGAATCTGTGGTGAGAAATTGACCACATCTCTTCAGCCGCGCTTCGTCTGCTCTCTGCAGCCCCACGGGGCTCCTCCAGGAGCTTTTGCCACAATGGAAAGATGAGCATATGAACAAACTTAAAAATTCCTAACAGCCAAAAACATTCAGATGGGCTCTGAAACAGAAAGCCAGTTACCTTTTTGTGTCTGCTTCCAGGAAATTGTCATTCCTGCCTTTCACAATAGAAGACAGTTTCCAAGTAGCTGCCTTGCTCAGCAGCCTGGTGCTTCCAAGGCTCACAGCAAGGAGAAAAGGCAGCACTTGTTTCAGAGTCCACTCTGGTCGTGGAGCCTCTCACCGGTCTCAGAGCCCACAGGTGAGCAAGAGGAAAGAGAATTCTGATGCCTGTCAGCAATGCCAATGCTCCATCTGATAAAGTTCTCCAAGCTCCACACATTTTTTTCTACATCAAGCTCTTTCTTCCCTCCAACTTTCTTTCCGTATGAGTCATTTGCTTTGAATGCTATGTATCAAATATGAACACATCCACTGTATCCCGAGTTTGATATCTCAACTGTTTAACTAAATTATGAGAACTGCTGTATAGTTGGATGCATGTGTCACTGAGCCATTTGTAGTTATATCACCTTATCCTCAGACTGGTTCTGGAAATACAAGGGCTAATTCCATGAAGAAAGAGGTGGCATTTAATTACAAAGAATGGCATGAAGATATGACAGACAGGAAAGCAGCCCAGTTCTTCTGGAAGTCATAAGGCAACTGGCTTTGATGTCCTCTAAACCAGAATTTGAATATGGACTCTGCCCTTTGACTAGATGTACAATCCTGAGCAAGTCACTTACATTTCCTTGTTTCTACAGTTAGGACCAAGGGAATGGCAAATTCATGGGGATTTTGTGAGGATTGAAAGAGACAGCACTTTGCACAGGGTCCATCACCTAGTCGGTGCTCAATAAAACATAGCTGATGTTTGTGGCAAGAAATAAGACTAACATTCTAAATGGCTGAATAAGCTCAAGGGTCCGGATCTTTTCTAAGGAACTTATGATGGTTTTGATAAGAGAAGTGGCGTATTCAAAACTTACTTTAGGAAGACATATTTGCGTGTGAAGTACACTGGAGAAAAGGGGAAATTAAAAACAAAACTTGTGAGGCAATTAAAACAGTCCAGGTTAGAGATGAATTGGTATGCTGAGTATCGAGAAGTTGTGGGCTGAGAGTGAGTTCACAGATCAAATAGGGGAGGGAGGAAAGAGGGGAAGAGAGAAGTTGGCATGAGCACACTCACCTGGGGAAGGTGGACGGCAGCAGTGCCATTAAGAAGTTGGAGTTGAGCAGGTGATCTTATCAGAAAGGAAACTGATGCCATAAGGGAAAGGTATCAATGTCAGTGAAAACAGAAGACATTAGAAAAAGTAGGATAAACTACGTAAGTCGGCCAGACCTTACAGGAGACAAATGAAGAAAATGGCACAAACCATCTTCATATTTCAAGAGTGAGAGGAGGCCAAGAGCACAGGAGGAGCTCAACCGAGTTGCGTCTGAGTCCCAGGCAAGGCTGCCCTGCACAGATGTCACTCCCTGTTGCTCTGGTGACAAGACGCCCTCTTCATACTGATATTATAGTGAGAAAAAAGACATGCAAATGAAGTAAATCATAACTCGAGCCAGAACCACACCTGGATCAACACCAACTTCGTGAAGGTCTTGTGAGGAGGAAAAGGTAGGACTAGGGAGACTTTTACTAAACACACAGGAGGGAGGTCAGAAAAGAAAGAATGAGTTAAACAGATGCTCAGGCCAGTCCTCTCATAAGTACTACAGACCTGTGGTTTCTCTGTTACTGGGGTTGAGTCACTGGATGGGAAATACAAAAATCAGTGGAGCTGGCTGCTGCCTGGAAGCAAACCTCAGGAACCCAGACCTGGGAAGTGTGAGAGAGCCCTCTCTTGGCACCTGTGGGATTTGGCTGGGGACCTCAGTGGTGGTGTCCCACTGGTCAGCTGGCTCTTCCTACCACTTCCCGAAGCCCAGGAGGGTTTGCCTGACCCGTAGGGAGTGGTAGAAGCAGAGCAGGGAGCCAGCAGTAGACAAGGTGATGGTCCATGTTAACACGTTCAAAGTGTCTGAAAGTTAGGAACACAGAAATAAAACAGGAAATGGGTCTGGAATCAGAGCAGTCTGAGAGCCATGCTGAGGTCCTTGCTTCCTAGTTGAGGCATTTTCTCTGTAACAGAGAGTGAGATCTTCATTCATTTCTGGAGAGTAAGATCTTCATTCATTTCTGTTGGGTAATAATGATAAAATCTGGTCTATTCAGGGTATGGGTAATATTTTTCACATTAAATGAATTAGGCAAAAATCTTTCTAAGGAGTGTTAGTCTCTGTTTAGCCACAATAATTAACATGGAGTGTGGCAGATTCTCTCTCTCTCAATTTATTTTTTAACTTACAATCATATGTACTCTTTTGGGGGAATAATTATGTGAGTGTTCACAGAGAGACATGTAACCCACTGCCATCAAGAACCAGAACAGTTCTACCACCGAAAAACATTTTTTGTGCTGTTCTTTTGCAGTCAAATCATTTCCCTTCTCTAACCCCCAGCAACCACTGATCTGTTCCAAATCTTCTTTTGACAACTGCCTGTTTGAGTAAGGCCCGAGATTTCGTCACGGTTTGCTGGTATGATGATAATAGTAACAGCACTGATTGTAATGGTCCGTACATATTATGCACTTACAATGTGCCAGGCACCATTTGAAGCACTTTATAGATGAGGAAACGGAGGCTTTGAAAAATTTGGAAAAAGAGGTTGGAAGAAAGACTTGCCCAAGGTCATATAATGGCAGCCTCGTGACTTGAGTCCAAGCACGTCTAACTCAGCCTCTGTGGAAGACACAGAAAATAGAACAAAGTGGAAGGAAGACCTACCTGTTTCAAGAAGCTCAGTTTAGATCTGGGATTGTCTTAGTCTAAAACGGAACAAAATCTATGTAAGAATTTGGTTAATTGTACCAATAAAGCAATAACTGACTGGGTATAAGATAAAATGAAGCCGGGATGCTCAAACTCCTTCCTTACAACCTGTGTGATATGCAATTAAGATAAAGCCCAGATGTGTTCTCCCTCATTGACTTGACCAGGTTTGTAAGGCAAAGCTAGAAAAATTCCCTGATCAAATACTGAAACATCTTGTGTATATTTCAGGTTGGAGTCCCCAACCCGGTCTCTGGTGATGGAGGCCCCAAAAGGAGTAGAAATAAACGCAGAAGCCGGCAACATGGAAGCCACCTGCAGAACAGAGCTGAGACTGGAGTCCAAAGACGGAGAGGTACGGGGTGAGAGGGACAGAAGTCCAGAAAGATGCAGTTCCAACAAGCCAACCTTTCCCAAAACTGGTTTGTTACTCCCTTTGCCACTGAGGTTGATCCTACACTGCGACAGCAAAGGCTGCCAGTCACAAGGTTTTAGTTTTATTTCTGGAACAAATATGTTGAATAAGATAAACCAAATCCACAACACATAAAAATTAGGACTCATTATTTGTAAGATGCTGAGATAATAGCATGTATTCCCAGCACAGAATTATACATATGGTTATAAAAAGGAACGCTGTTTCCAAATTCTGTCTCATGTCACCTTAAGATATGATTTAGGGAGCTGGTTTAATTAAGCTGTCTCTCGCACACATCTGGCTAAAGATGAACTTAATATACTTGTCATTTTTAAAGTATATGTTGTGTGTTTCTACTTTCATTGAGAACGAAGTCTAATTCAATAGCCATCGCAAGTCAGAACGAGCCAAAACCTCAACAGGGAAAGACTAGGCAATAAGAGGATGCAAATATTCATTCTTACCCCAGCACAACCCCACTTTCATGAACAGAATGGCTGCTTGTGTTTTTTGCAAGCAACGTAAGCCAAACCCCCAAAGAAAATATGATTCAACTGCAAACTTTTAAAAATGCCTTCATTGTGTTCATAAGCAAAGTTTTCTATTTACAGATTTTAAAAAGAGGAAAAAAATGTGTTTTTTAATTTTAACGCTAAACTGTATTTCACCTTTTGTATCTACTTAGAGGCAATCAATCGCCAGCTGCCTCTGTATACCAAGACTGGCTTTTGATTGGTTTATCATTTGGTATATTTGTTTTAAAAGAGCTAGTCAGATAGAACCATTCGGTTATCAAAACTGTCCTTCAAACAACCACAAATTCCAAACCACACACATTTAGAAACAGTGACTACATCACGTATAGAGTTGAAAGCTCTCAGAATCCAGACTCTGGAGGCATCAGTCATAGCGTTTCAGTCACTTAAATCCAGAAAGTGCTGCAGATTCTTGAAGACTTACCACACAAACAGGCATATTTAGGGTCCAAGAAGTCCCACAGTAAAGAAAATTAAGCTGGCATTTCCAAATTCATTTTACTCTAGGACTTTATTCACATTCTGCATAATAAATTTTTTGCAAAATGCTAATATATATATAGCATTGCCAGTGCAACATCGTCTTGCTAGAATATAAGCTTCTGGAAGGGTAGAGACTTTGTTTTATTCATCTCTGAATTCCCAGCGCCTACAATACTCAACACATAGTAGGTGCTCATTCGATTTAAGTTGAACATTCACCTGCTGCTTCTGAATGTCAGGAGAATAAATGACAGGCCCTAACGCTTTCCTTCCTATTTACCCTTCAGATTAAGTTAGATGCTGCGAAAATCAAACTACCTAGACTGCCTCACGGATCCTACACGCCCACCGGAACGAGGCAGAAGGTCTTCGAGATCTGCGTCTGCGCCAACGGGAGGCTATTTCTGTCCCAGGCAGGAACCGGTTCCACTTGTCAGATAAACACAAGTGTCTGCCTTTGAGAGACTATCCACAGTGGACACTGTTGGCAGCAGAAGGCCTTTTTTTGGCTTTAGACACTGTCTGCCAGCTATTTTTACTAGAACACAGAAAGCCTATCAAAGACCTTTTGTGTGTGCGCCTGTGTGTGCGCGCGTGCGTGCGTGCGTGTGTGTACGCGTGTGGTTGCGTGTATGGGTGGATATAAATATATATAAATATATATAAATAAATATATATATCCTCTGTATAAAATGAGGTTTCAGTACAAAAGGAACCATGGGTGACCCTGTGATATCCACTGTCATTTCCATCCCGACCCCACCAACTACCTAATAAAGTCAAAACATTAATTTGGGCCCAGTATTCCCCAGACCCTTCAGAATCACACAGTGTATTGGACACTTACCAAATACTCATCGACATGTTTGAGTAACAGCGCATATTCTCTCGTA